TGAAGTCAAGATGACTCAGTAGTTAAAGGCAGCCTGAGCCGAAGTTCGTGGGTTCGAAACCCGCTCGTCACACTAGATTTTTTATCTCAACCAAGACTAGGTATAACTAATTTCATATATAATATTCAAGAAATGCAAGTTTCAATTTTCTTTTTTTTTTCCATGATGTCGATATATAATATTTTTTTAAATACACTTACTTATTAAAACTGGTCAAATGAGACCATCTATTAATTTCACAAAGATTAACTTAGAGGTAAATAAATAATAAATAACTTTAGTCCACTCATCAATGTCACAGTATATCTAATTTAACAGGAAGTTTCTACGGTACTAAATTAAATGGCTTAGTCCTCTTCAGAGGTCTTTGTTTTTCAGTTTTCAACAGTTTCACATAACTTTGTCTTTCAAAATTTGTTGTAAACAACAAATCTGAGAGTATAACCATAATTTACAAAAAGTGACGCAGTACTATTTTCGAACAATTAACATCAAAAATTGCTCTTTTTCCGTGGTCCATAAAACAATAAACAATCATGAAGCCTCTTGTCATAAATAAATGATTTATGTAAGACATGTGGGAGTTTATAGCAACCCGGAAAGCATAAAAAATATTTTAAAATGATTTTTTTTATAGCCTGGTTATTATCTAACTATATTATATTGTTGTTATATTGTCATATTTACAAATAACATTTTACTAAGGAATTGCTTTATTTTTTCTTATTTTTAATGCTCTTATTTTCTTTTTAATTTTTAAACTAAATTTGTCTATAATAATTTCACGCATGTAGCCTTGAAATGTATAGAATGAGAACTATGTAAAACAATCGTAAATAGCGTACCATTACGTACCACAATAGGAACTTAATTTTCATGAGAAATGTCCTTCTGGCATTTTCCTACTTTCTAGAATTGTTATAACTTTTAACAAAATCCAAGCTTTACAAGAGCGTAGAAAAACGGATCAATATCCATCCTAACAAAAATTCCTGAGACTAAATTGACTTAGAAAACAAAGAAAACTACCTGTGATTTGTATGAATTGCGAAAGTGACCAGGTTGCGTGCTGACTTTTAACAATAAACCACACAAGGTTGTTAAAATAAGGCGTGCACTATGCAATTTCAATAGGGAAATTTATGACTCATTTACGATTCATTTAATCTATCCTATTACAACAAACAGGGTGAATTTGAACAAAAATTACGCAGGAATAATGGTTGTCCTAATCCTAACAATCCTAAATTGTCCAACCATCCACATCACCATAACAAACTGATTATTCTTGAAAGGCGATGTGAAATTTGTAAAAAAACTATGGAATAATAATAAAACCTTATTTATTAAATAAACCGATAAAACCGGTATAAGTTTGTTTTATGCTATATTTATGCTATATTTGCATTGCAATTGGATATAATTGTGATGTTTTCTCAAGGGGTTTGCGTTTTGAAATATGATTGACCATTTATTTTGTTTTTTTCCCGTCATTTATGGAGTGGGTTGGTGTTCTACTGAAACTGACGACTAAAACAACGAAAATTGGCAAACCAAAATGACCGGAAACAACACGCCAAATTCAGGTAAACATCAATCTTTATTTTCTATAATAAAACGGCAATGTTCAAAAATCGAATTATTAAATTAACGACTGTATGAACATTACTTTATTTTCTTGTGTTTTCGTTTCTTTAGAGGTAGTTTTAGTGTGCCGCTTTCTGTGATAACATGTCAGTAGGACAAGAGCTTCGTGAATGAATATCGATTCATATCGACAAAACTCTTGGCCGAACATCGTTTTAAACTATAACTAGTTTTCTCTTTAGGGGAGTAGTAAAAATAAAGAAAACCTGTACTTTATATATTTTGGTAGACTATGTCTACGTTTAAAACAATAAAAAGTATCTAAATGTCAAGCAGTAACACATAATTTTCACATGATTAAGAACAAAACTCAATCAAATTTTGTAAAAACTACAAAATGACTCAACACAGGACGAAAACACAGGAGGAATGACGCAATGAACGAAAATAAAACAGGAAAATAACATTTGTTTGCTTCAACTATATTCTAGATCGAAGAAAGCACGCCTTGTTTTTTCCAACAAACATTTTTTTTTATTTGTATGTTTAATAAAGAAAATACAAGTTGTCCCTGTTCTTGTTCGTTTCTCTTAATACAAAAAAATAATGTATCTTTATTGAGTATTTTTAATTATCAAAATTTATATTACGAGGTAAACTCATAAATTTTATAGTGACATTCTCATCGATCCTTGGCCTTCCATGGAGCGACTAGTGCATTTTATCCAATATTAAAGATTATAGCATTCCAACAATTTCTGATCCTTAGAATTTAAAATATCCCGTTGCTGGTGGAAAGGTCAAAATGCACGAGAAAAAATAGGTGATTATCTTGCTGCCCCTGGAAAAAGGTTTAAAAAACTGTTCTGCAATCCGTAAAATTTACGACGTAGCCGTGGCAAACGAAGGCGACCGAGGCACGGTGACAAGGGCGAATTTTGGAAAAACAACAAATTCATTCAACACGGAATGAAAACACACTCCTCGCGAGGAATGACGCAATGAACGAAAACAAAATAGGAAAAGTAAAACTTGTTTGGTAAACCGACATTCAAGAAGGAAGAAAAGCCCTAAACAACTTGTTTTTCCAGCAAATATATATTTTTTTTTTCACTTTTCACTTTTATTTGTACGTTTAATAAAGAAAGTACATGTTGTCCCTGTTCCTCTTCGTTTCTTTTATTTTCTTAGTACATGCAATATATTGCATACCATGTTTCTTTTATCGTAGAAAACACGACACTTTTTCATTGACTTATTGACCTTTCTAACGGCAACCTGGCTGTGGGAAAAGGTAGTACTGTGAAATTCGATTTAGCTTTCAAAATCTTTCACACCGATGTAAATTTCGTTTCTATTTAATTGTCCCATAGTAGCAAAAACATATATTTTTATGGATATATAATAAGGGCTTTGAGGCGCTTAGGTTTCTTGAAAAATTTGAAATGTTTGCAAATCCACTGCAAGAACTTAAACGGCCTAAAATAATTGTTACAATATACAAATTAGACATCCAATTAATTACAAAAAATATTTTCAAATTAAATTATAAAATTAAGCAATTAAATCTTATGGTTACCAGGATTGTTGAAACTAATAATCAATACATCAATAAACACAAATAAAAGAACCTGATGTTGGTTTTGAAATAGATGTTCATGTTCTATAGATGATTATGATTTATATACAGTAACAGTACAAAATTATGTCGTTGAATGTAAATGTGGTCAGTATTTGACCAATTTCTGCGACACGTAATAATACCGCATTCATTCATCAATTCGTTATGTCTCCCTCTGTCTCTATCTATTTATCGCTGTCCCTCTCCCTCTCACTCTCTCTCTCTCTCGTCCTCTCTACCTTTCTCTTTCTCACTCTCTCTCGTCTCTCTCTCTCTCTCTCTGTCTGCTCTGTCATCAGTCTCTCTCTCTCTCTCACTCTCTCTCTCTCTCTCACTCACTCTCTCTCTCTCTCTCTCTCTCTCTCTCTCTCAATCTCTCTCTCCTCTCTCTCTACCTTTCTCTTTCTCTTTCTCTTCTCTCTCTTCTCTCTCTCTCTCACTCACTCTCTCTCTCGCTCTCTCTCTCAGTCTCTCTCTCCTCTCTCCCTCCCTCTCTCTCTCTCTCTCTCCCTCCCTTTCTCTTTCTCTTTCTGCTCTCTCTCCTCTCTACCTTTCTCTTTCTCTTTCTTTCTCTTTCTTTCTCCTCTCTCCGTCTGCTCTCTCTCTCTCTCCTTTCTCTCTACCTTTCTCTTTCTCTCTCTATCTATCTCTATCTATCTATCTCACTCTCTCTCTCTTTCTCTCCTCTTTCCTTCCCTATTATTTACTGAGTGTCGTATGTACTTATAAAGACCCGAAAAACCAAACATAAATACATAATTACTTTGGAGGACTGTGAAATGCTACGTTAGTGTTTCTGCGTTCAAATCCCGACACAACCCATAATTTTTTAAATGAAAATAGTATGAAAAAGATATTGATAAGTTGTAAAATGGTTGAATTATCCGTGACACCTCCTTTATGTCGGAATTTAAAAAAACAACTTCATTTTTCGTTCTTTAGAGTTATTTGGTTTATTAATTTATATTGCACTTGTTTATCAACAGAACAATTGAAATTCTTTATTATATTATGTTCATTTTGCTTAAGTTGCATTATTATATCAAATGCACTATAAATTCAACACATAAGTTTTATGTTGTGTGAGTAAATCCGACTACAACTACGGATTATGTTGTCGCCTTGAATGTTTTTCTATATTTTGTGAAAACTTTTTTTTTCTACAATGTTTCTGTAAATAAAAAAGGCATACTACTACTACCGATAATAATAATCTTTCTTTTGACTGGCATAAGCATTTTTGTGACTATCTTAAAATATATTTAGCATATGCAATCTATTGTTGAAATATACTGACTACTTAGTTTTATTTTGTTTTTTAATAATGGTTTGCCGAAGTATACGTCGATAAAACGACCTTAGTCAGCTTTTACCAAAGTGACACATAGTTTCTTGTCAACTTACAAAGACGAATTTGTACATCTGTGATAATTAAGAGTACAGGAGGCAAACTTTTCACACGTTTTGTTTTTATTTGCCAACTGTCTAAACAGAAAAAAAATTCCATAATAGTCTGCAATCTGTTATTTAAACGAAAATAAAAAGAAGCAGAACCAACGTGTATCATTTATCAACTACATCGTGCTGAATTTCTAATTAATAATTACACTGGTCTGGCATTATTCTTTGATGGAGTCAGTTCGGCAACTGGAAGCCGGGACGAGCCGAAAGGTGGTCGGCATGCGCACAAATCGTTCAATCCTCCGATCTCGAACACATTCGACGCAATTACAAATCTTTTATCGTTTGCAACGTTAATATTTTTTTTTCGTTTTATTGAACTGTCACTCACGGTATATCCATCCTTGGTAGAGGTCGCCGCCTCCTCTGGAGCCCTGAGCCTCCGCCATATAGTCCAAGGCCCGGACACCATTGGACACCATCAAAGGTTTCTGGAAAATAAAAGAGAAATTGTTAAAACAACTAGAGTGGGAAGGGTGTTTCGAGTAAAACAAAAAAAACCACTCGGCTTTAAAGGGATTAATAAGAGCCGCTCCTTTACATAAGGGCGTTCATTAAACGGGCTCAGCTGCACTCGAGGGCTGAAATGGGCACTTAATGCCAGGAAAAATGACGAAGGGGAATGTAATTGAAAGGCCAGCTTTCTTGCCAGGCGTAGGTAGTGAAACATGTTTTTAGTGAGATCATCACTTTTTCAAGATGTTGCTCTGTGATTACTCAAATTCAAAAATCTTCCATTCAGAAAAATTAAAAAAAAAATTAAATTTTAAAGAAAAACTGTCCTAAATGCAGTGGAGTCTCGTTATCCGCGGATGAAACGTATCAGACATCACCGCGGATAATAGAAAACACCTCGAATTGCTTCGAAACATTTTCTTCTATCTGCACACCGGTCAGGCAGCTTACCGCCTGAGCATAACCGCATAACCTAACTGTCAATGTTATGTATGAACTTATGTACACATATTTCAGGGTTTTTTTTAAGAAAACAATAAATACATACATCAACAGATATGCAAAATTTACAAAAACGATAAATTAAATTTCATAGAAGTAGATAGTGGATCAGCGAATTATGCCCTTTCGGCTTTCTCAAAGAACATTGTCATAGTTAGCTGTTTTGTCTGGTTTTTCAATTGCTGGAAATTTTGTTGGAGCTGGTCTATTGCTTGAGTCAGCAACCGTGTTGATGCTTTGTTCCACTAATGGATTAACACATTCTATGATTTTGTCTTTCAACTTTTGACCTAATCGAAAGATTTCTCCATGTTTTTCTATTGTCCGTTCTTGTCTTTTTAATGAGTTCTTCTAATTCTTCATTAGTGAGTTCGTGATGTTCAGTGATGCAAACCCGGATGAGTGAGAGCGCGGATGAGACTCTGCTGTATTATTACCGTGTGGTGTTTAGTGACCGTTAGTTAATGATTATTTGGAGATCGTGAGATGCGGTCTGGTGTGACATAGATTTATAAATCCCAAGTCCTGAAGATGATCTCAATAAAGATCGAAACGTTGATACGATAAAGAAAATGTTTTTCTAAACCCACGTCTCAACTTTCTATCTCACAAACTCCAAATAATCATTTATTAACGGTCACTTAACACCACACATTCTAATTTATGCTACTTACAACGCCTGATAATTTGGTTGATTTTTTAAGACCGAAATACAGAATATTTAAAGAACTTTTTTTAACAGTTTTATTTATTTATGAAACCAATTTAGAGCACAATGTTTGTCATTGTCCGAATTCTCATGCAGCCGTCGTGGAAAATGCGTGGAAGGGCCTCTGGTCAACAACCGTATTGTAGTGCGATACAATGTCCATGTCAAGGCTATTCTTTATCTAACTGTACATAATAGATTCCTTGTTCTATTCAGCCTATGCTGGTAATAGTTCTAAAGAAATTTGCCAGATCATGTTTCGAAAAAGTGTCTATGTACATCGGTAAGTCTGTGAAAAACCTGAATCTCAGGTCCCGAGGCTGCGATTGTGCAAATCTCGAGTGCAATACGAACCGGCCCGAGCCATAATTCGTGACCGGCAGGTCGTCAATTTGCAGTCGGGATAGGGTCACGGATTGCGCAACGAAAACAATGAATGGAATTCGTTTGTTTCCCCCGGGAAAATGGAAAAGATGAGAAGGCGTAATTGCAATATCGTTGCATTCTGAAAAAAACTTACAGGATCTCACTTAGCTCAGCTTTATTTTTAGACAATTTTATGAATTCGTCTACATCAAATTTGTAAGTTGGAAGACAAACACACACCTACACATCGTTGTTTTCGCCAGTGAAATTATATGAATATTTTATGTTTTCTTTCTCGACGGTAGCACAGTCTTTTCTTCAGATCAATAGTTTTCTTGTACTTATTTATACGGAAATGTGAAGGTAAATTTAAGTCTGTTGAAGAGCTGCTGTGATGAATTCTTAAATTGATTCAGGCGACCACGTTGACCGAGTGGATAGGAAGTCCGACTAGTATTCGTCACGCTAGTGGTTATGGGTTCGAATCCCGGCGCAGCCCATAGAATTTTCATTTGTAATTAAGTGATATTTTATCCCTCGTCTGCGAAAACTAACGGGTTGGACATTAAGCTCTACTGTACGATAAGAATTACTTTACTTATTTGAGTTAATACTTTTTACTTAATTTAAGCATTGTAATATATCAATAGGTATAAAGACCTTGGGAACAAATTCTCCTCTTGAAATAATTTTTTCATTTCAAAAAATCGTCATGTATAATGATTAAATATGTGATAAATAATTAAAACACACTAGTAACTACACTTTTAAGTGTTTAGTACAAATAAAGTGTAATTAGTACATTGAAAATACCGAAACGCGTCCCAGCGAGGTTAGGTAGATCAAAATGATTAATCACGACCAAATGTTAATAAACAATATGGCAACGAAAGGTGGCCAGAGTCAGTGGAACGGTCATCAGAGAAACGCTTGTGCATCAAGTAAACCGACTCAGAATCGGCCAAACGCGGTTGACATACAGTCACTTAATTTTGGGGCAACGCCCGAGTATGTAGCATATAGAGAAGTTGCTTGACGTGTTCCACTTTAAATCAATGTTATCACTGTTTGGCTCCATATGGAGAGCTAGTAGGTACGCCATCCTATATGAAAATTATTAATTATTGTTCTTATTGTTTACATAAAAAGTTTAGTTATAGATTTCATTCGTCATGTATACATCTTCAAGAAAGACAGTTAGTTGTTATCGATTGTGGGTACTTGTTTGAATTTTTAAGAAGTACCATTCTTAATTAACCATCAGAACCTGATCCTGAACCATTCTCTTTGATGTAGAGTTCAGAATTTCTACGGTAAAAATTTGATTAATTCAAATTGATTGTTAAGAAATTAAAATGCTTTATTATTGGATAGCCTATTAACTAGAAAGCAATCGAGATGCTTGTGGAAGTGGCGAATAAGCACAAGGACTTGAGAAAGCTAGGATGTCGTTTTTTCATGTAAGGGTTGTCGCCTGTTGATTTCTCCTGGACAGACAAATTGCCGTAAAGAATCATGACCCTCCATTAAAATTCAAACGACGCAGGGGAAAACAAACGTCTTCAAGTGTGCCAATGAGCAAACATGATCGAAAACAACAACTTTCCACCGATTTACGCAGCCGCCGTAATAAATAAGCTAAAAACGTTTGGGCGTAAAAAGCGGCCCAGCCCCGGGGCAAACGGAGGTCCGAGTCATACTGCAAAACGGGATTCCGACTGACCCAAATGATGGACTCAATCATGTCATGATGAATCACGCCGGCTATACGGATTTCACCGACCAGAAGCGAATTAGCACTCGTGCCGGAAGTATCGGGATTTAATAAATCGTCACGAATTAGGAAATTCTTACGGCCTTTTTGGACGGAGACGCGGACATTTTTGCAGGAGACGAAGTCGTGACCGGCCAAAGGAATTTCAGCCGTTTTAAAAGAAAGCTGCTGGAATTACAATGACGACATTTCACATCAACTTTACCGTCCATCCAAAAAAGGATTCTTGCTAGATACAATCCAAAATGGGAAGAAGTCAACCCCAGAAAGGTACGGAGTGATAAAATTTATGCAGAAATTCTACTATCAACATTTGCTTTTTTTTCTTGCTTTTTGTAAGTCAATCAGCCACTATATGGGTCATTTTCCGCCTTGGTAGAGTTGACAATGTATAGTATAAGATGGTACGTGGGTGACTAGGTGATGAAATGGACGAAAACAGAGCCCGACGGTAGCGCACACCCCAGGTCAGCTTTTCTTTTCAATTAGATCGTTACTTATACAGATTGTTTAGAAGGATGAGCATGCAGTGCCACCGTCTACATCCTTCCCCAATCCTGGGATTATTAGGCCCAAGGATCCCGTAGGAGCGCGCCCCATCCAGCCCAAGATCCCTCAGATCGAAGAGCACCCAGACCCCCGCCGCCTCTGCCACCAAGTTAGTCATTTTTTAATTGTAATCACCATTACACTTGTTTGATTAGCGGTTTTATAGTTTTGGAAATAGATCGATTTGCTACAACAATTATATTAAGTTCAATCATAATAGTGTTATCTCCCAGAATTTCCGGAAAGCGCTATGGCATGTTGAAGCTACATTCGCTTTTAAAACGGTCTTCTATTTTAACATAAACCTGACCTCAATGGTGTATAAATTAAACATAAACTTATATATGTATGACATGTAATGGTTCCATGCTGAACCGGCATTGGGCCACTTAAAGTTGGAGGTCGTTTAAAGGGTCACTCAGGAAAGGAATGAGTTCCTCGCTGAAGATGGCGCAATGCCGAAACGCGTTTGAATAGTTCAACAAACCCGCGAGTGAAGACGGACTTTTTAAGTGGCCCAATGCCGGTTCATCATGAGTTCACCGACTCACAGACCAACACCGAGAAAGTAATGATTTATTATGATTTGTTTATGACTGGTTTATTTAATCATCTTTTGAATCAAAATCTCAGTGAAAAATTGATATTTCTTATGAATGGGTTGTTTATTATAAATTATTAAATTCACTAATTTCGTGGTCCGCTTGACCAATTAAACATTACAATTAATTAAGGTTTTTAATTGAGNAAATGAAGTACACTTCACTAAAGCTCTCCGTCGCCATTTCAATTGTCGTCGAGAATCCAAACCGATTAAACGACATTTGAAAAATGGCAAAAGGAGGGAAAACTCATAAGGTGGGGTTGAGATGGGGAGTTGATGTCCGAGTGAATCGAGGTCAAGATAGTTCAGGTGGTAGAGCAGCGGCGTATCAAGCCGAAGGTCGTGGGTTCGAATCCCTCTCGTGCCATTAACTTTTTTTCATCTCAACTAAAAATCTTAGTTAATTGTAATTATAAATTATATATGGTTGATATACCTGATTACAATTCATAAACAAAAATGGTCCACAGGT